ATTTTTTGCATGAAATTATCTTTGGGTAAATGAGTTTTATGAGTGGGTGAAATTTTTTTTTGAATTGCTTAATTAGTTTTTAAAAATATGACTTAAAAACGCAAAAATTGAGATAAACATTAAGGGGTCCAAACTTTGAATTGCTCTCCTGACCAAACTATGGGGACCACATTTTAAAGATTAAGAATCCAAATATGTAAGAAAAAATATATGTTTATTCACAGAAAGTACGTTTTTGTGTTCAATTTCGTAACTTAATTAATAGTTAGCACTAATTAATTAGCATATTTGAGGTCACCTCCAGGAACCATTAAGATTGACACTTAGTTCGTGAAAATCTGACCATTAGAACAAAAGTTATTCAGGGTGATATATTTTTTTCCCCCGCAGACTGTACATTCGCATTTGATGGTATGGCCAAAGTGATAAACTATCTACGTAATATTTAATTCTAGATACCTAATTCTCATTAACAGTCAGCCATAGGGGTATTCTTATTGTATACATTGATGGATATGCGAAGATGTGTACCACTCAAATTCGGAAAATCAGTTACGTTTGAACCTTGTCTTTTTTTAATAAACTGATGCTAAAAGTAGTTGCAAGGACTCGCTATTTGCAACAATTTCAGTTTAGTTACTTGTAGCATGTTTCTTCTGACCACTGGTTACAACCAATTGTATCTTTTTTGATGCATTTGATATTCTAGGGAAATTAAATAAATGAGGCTATTTTAACTTCAAAATTAAACTTTATTAAATTTTAAAAAAAAGTTAAACTGTAGGCTAAAATGCTCATCATAAATAGGGAAAAAACACATCAATAAGCACAATTAAATCCCTTATTAACTTTCTTTTTCTACATTTAAAATGAAAAGCATTTTTAATAAAATGTTTCTATTCAGCAAAAGTTTAGCAATGTTCGTTCAAAGGAAATACATCATTTACATTGTTTTTACATTAATTTAGATCAGTTGTCAGAACAAATAGTAAAATAGTAAAATTGAACCCATAAATCACCAGAAAGAGAAGATCTACCAAGACTGTTGAGTGACCATTAGTGACGCTCCTCCTCTGGAATGCAGGAAAAGAGGGAGATTTGTTTTCAAAAGAACGCAACTGAGTCCCCTCCCCCCTTCTTTCTTATGCAGCTGGCTAGTAAAAGAGGCATTTCCTGGAACCTTTTTATTAGAGTGTCAGGGAAAGAAGAAATACTGTGAAAAAGAGTAAACGCAGAGCGTTAACATGGAGGAGAAGTCAAAATGGAAAATTTGAATAGGTCTTAAAGGATACACGTCCTTAAGAAACATTCCTTCTTCCCCTGACCATGTAACATTTAGGAGGCGGGGGAAAAAAGGTAACATTTGTCAGGCTCTTATGAGAAGGCCTATGCAGAGTAATATATAGATAACTTCTCTTGATAGCAAATGACAATTTAATGAAATAACTTATATTTACAGCTTGCTTATTTTCAATAAATGGAATACAATTTTTATCAATCAAAAGAAACCATTTTAATAATCTTAATTCTATTATTGTATTGCCACTCATTGAGTTGAAAACTTTAAAATTAAGGTAAAGTAAAATAAATCATACTTAATTCTACCCTACATTACTCCCCTACCAAGTAACTATGTTACGATAAATTTTTAACTATCACAACAGAATTAAACCTGGTAGGTAATTTTATAAGTCTGCCAAAACGAGATACTTTCTGGTTTTTGGTAGGCTCAATATTTTGCTTTATTTTTGAATCATCTATCTGTAGAAGGTTGTTCATTGTTTTTATCTATTGGAGAGTTGTTTTCTTCGTTTAACAAATAAGCAGGTTTTAGTCTATCAATTGAAACACTGTCATCTTTTCCTTTAATTTTTATTATGAAATATTTTTCTCATCTTCTTAACACAGGATATGGTCCTTGGTAGGCAGGTTCAAAAGATTTTTTTACTTCATCTAGTCTGATGAATACAGGTGAACATGATTGAAGATCCTTGTTTATGAAAATATTTTGACTTATATTTTGTTTTGCTTTAATTGGATTAAAGGATTTCATCTGATTTTGTAAAGCTTTTGCAAACAATTCTGTTGAGAAGGGATATTTGGAGGGTTCGAAAAATTCGCCTGGAACTTTTATTGTTTTGCCATATACCATCTGTGATATTGAACAGTTTGAATCTTTTCTTAGAGCAGATCTCAAACAAAGAAGAACAGTTGGAAGAGTTTCACTCCATTTAATTGAATTATGAGCTTTTATTGCACATTTTAGAGTTCTATGTTGTCTTTCTACTTTACCACTGCAGATTGGATGATAAGCAGTGGTATGTTGAATTTTTGTGCCACATAGTATTCCAAGGTTCTTAAAGACTTCAGAAGAGAATTGGGTTCCTCTATCAGTTACCTTTTATGGCACACCAAATCTTGCAATCAATTGCCCATAGAATGCCTTGGCTACTGTTTCTGCTTTAATATCCTCAATTGGAATTGCTTCTAACCAAGGTGTATATCTATCAATACAAGTCAGGCAATATGTTTTTCTATTGGAAGGTGGAAAAGGTCCAATTAAATCTATATGAACTACATCAAATCTCTCAACTGGTAGATGAAATTCAGCAAATTGTAATTTAGTGTGTCTGTTAATTTTGGTTTTTTGGCAATTAATGCATCACTTTGTCAATTTCAGCAAATCTTTTTTAATATGGGTCCACATAAATCGGGATATTTCTTTTACAGTTGATTTGACTCCTGGATGTGCCATTCTATGTATTTGCTCAAACACAGCATGACGCTGAATTTTAGGCACGTATGGTCTGACATTAGTGGTTGAAATATCACACTATAAAAATTTTCCATTACTTCAGAGGTACTTTTGAAATTTTAAAAAAGGGTTCTTAAGCAAACTTTGCAGCTCTGGATCATCAGTTTGAGATTCGTCTATAATTTCATTATTAATTGCAGATATTTTTCCAACTTTAGATAACCTATCTGCTATGATAATATTTTCACCTTTAACATGTAGAATAGAAGTGGAAAATTGAGAAACATATTGTAAGTGTCTAAGTTGTCTGGGAGAAGCTTTTTCCTTTTTTTTGCTTGAATGCAAATATTAAAGGCTCATGATCTGTAAAAATATTAAACTTCCTTCCTTCTAGCACATGCTTGAAATATTTAATCAATAAATAAATTCTGGGTAACTCTCGATCGCAAGTACAGTGTAACGTCCCATATCGGGACGTCCCTTTTCCAGAAGGGTCGGTTTCCCGGACACTTTTTAACAATCAAAATAAACAAACATTTCTTCATCTTCCCCTCTCCTTTTAAAAAAAAATAAAAATGGGAAGTCTTTTAGCAGGTTTTTCCCCTTCTCAGCTTCTAGAGATCTATGCATTGAACACATAAATCAACAGAAAAGAGAACAGAAGATCTACTAAGACCATGACACTTCTCCTCTGGAATGCAGGAAAGGGGAGAGATTTGTTTTCAAAAGAGCACAACTGAGTCCCCTCCCTCCCCCTTCTTTCCTATGCAGCTGGCTAGTAAAAGAGGCATTTCCTGGAACCTTTTTCTTTGAGTGTCAGGGGAAGAAGAAATGCTGTGCAAAAGGGTAAACACAGCAAATGTTAAAGTGGAGGGGGAATCCCCTTTAGTCACACAAGAAAAAATAAAGAGAACCCAATCAGCATGCCACGCCTGTATGCTTGATTGATAGCCAATGATGGGAGAGAAAATAAGAATTTGTCACTACCCAGCCCACAACTTGAATGACAAGTAAGGAGGAAAGGAATTTTTCCTCCCCACCTTAATGAATGACGGGAATTTCCTCTTCTTGCTTGAATCGTTTTAGTTCAAAATGGCGGAGAGAGCAATTAATATTTTCATAACTGTGAATTTTTTTCGTTTTCTATATTTATTTTTAAAATAGCAATAATTATTTTTTTCTAATATTTTGTTTATGATTGATTAGATATCATTCTAATACTAAAACATTATTGCCCGAAAAATAATGTTTATTTTCTGCTTTTTAGATTCAGATCATTTTAAGCTTTGTTTACCTTGGAGGTCAATTATACGGAAAAATCAAATATACGGACTTCGGAAAGTCCCGCCGATTCCGGATATGCGACTTTCCACTGTACTATAATTTCTTTCCGTAGTACTTAATTTTCTAGAATAAAAACCTATTGGTTTCCAACTATCGTTTTCGTATTGTTGGAGTACTGCACCTATCACCAAATCTGAAGCATCTGTATGTAAAGACAGAGGTAATTCAGGATTTGGGTGAGATAGCAAAGCAACATTTGCTAGATCTTGTTGCATTTTTTAAACTTTTGAATAGCTTCTTCAGTTCAATTAATTTTCCTTCCATCTTTCTTTATAAATCCTTTAAGATGTTCATGTAGAAGGGCTTGTGACTTAGCAGCATTTTTCAAAACTCTTCTGCAAAAATTAACCATACCAAGAAATGTACGCAATTCATGAATAGTTTCAGGCGATTTGGAATCTAAAACACCTTTGACTTTTTCAGGTAGTGGTTTAGATCCTTCTTTGGTAATCAAGTAACCTAAAAACGTTAACTCTTGAACAACAAAAGTTGATTTAGACATGTTAATACATATTTTTCTAATGTGTCGAAAACTTCTTTTAAGTGCTTTACTTGGAAGCTATTAAAATATCGTCTAGATAAAAAAATACAAAGTCGAGTCCCCTCAAAACTTCGTCAATAAACCGTTGAAAAGTAGAAGGTGCATTACGGAGTCCCAAACTCAATATATTGAATTCATATAAGCTGAAAGGTGTAATTATTGCTGTTTTAGGTTTATCTATTTCTGCGATTGGAATTTGATAATATGCCTTAAACAAATCTATCTTCAAAATTATTACTGTACCGTTAGGAATGTGGTTAAAATCTTTTATTCTTGGGATTGGATAATGATCTGGAATTGTTTGTGTATTCAGTTTTCTGTAATCACTAAATGGCCGAAAAGTACCATCCTTTTTGGACACTATATGAACTGGACTAGCCTATTGAGAGTTTGAAGGTCTGATAATGTTATTTTTTAACATACATTGAAATTCTTGTTTAGCTATACGCAACCTTTCAAAATCTAAAACTCGAGAACGGGCATAAACTGGTTGTCCTTGAGTGGTAATATACTGTTCACCCCCATGATTAATTTTAGAAACAGATAAATTAGGTTGAGTGATATTTGGATATTGAGATAATAATCTGGCATATTTAGAATTTTTGTCTATTGTACTAATACCATCATGTGCTGACATTGTTATTTAACTCTTTATTGAAAGAGTAGTAACAGTATCAATTAGCTTTTTGTTGTGTATATCAATCAGTAGTTTGAATTTATTCTGCTCCTAAAATAGCTTTATCCACTTACGCAATAATACAAGGAAATTGAAAAGTTCCACGCAAACCTAGATCTAAAGTTAAAATTTTAATTCCATATGTTAAAATTTCAGTTTTATTAGCAGCATTTAACTTGAAATTATCTGCTGATAACTTTTCCTAAGTTACTGGAATGGCGCTCACGTCTGCTCCTGAATCTACTGAAAACCACATTCCTGTGTTTTTGTCTTGTACAAATAAACGAAATTTGTGGCGAGAGACATTTTTCTTTCAGCAGCATAGTTTACTACTAGTTCTACTGCTGTCTGGTGTTTTCTGTATTCCAAGTGCACTGTTGGCGGCATTTGTCAGTATGGCAGCGGTCGCCAAACATAAAATGGTAATAGCAATATTTTCCTCTTTCATTGAATTGCTTCCTGCGATTTTGACTACTTGACCGGGAATGTACAAAACCTGGATTTTTTGCATCTTTAAATGTTGCTCTTGATGAACGAATACAGCTTAATTTCGAAATTTGCACTTTTAATGATTGGATTTGCTCTAAAAGCTCATCGTTTGAGCCGGAACAACGGATTTGCTCGAGTTGCCATTTTCTTCATCACAAAAATTTCAATCCTTGAGCTTATATCATTTCTGCCATTTTGGCGAGTTTTGAAATATTTTCTTCACTTACAAGTAACATGGTTCCAATAGAATCGGGCAATTTTTCCAGCTAAAGAGTTCTAATTAAATTTTCTGAGATATTCGCCGTAGCTATTAATTTTAGTTTCTGAAGAAGCTGGCTTGGTTTCATATTGCCAAGTTCAATTACGGTAACTAATCGTCATGTTTTAACATTGTCAGGCTCTTATGTGAATAGGTCTAAAAGGATACACGTCCTTAAGAAACATTCCTTCTTCCCCATACCATGTAACATTTAGGAGGCGGGGGGAAAAAGGTAACATTTGTCAGGCTCTTATGAGAAGGCCTATGCAGAGTAATATATAGATAACTTCTTCTGATAGCAAATGACAATTTAATAAAAAAACTTATATTTGCATATTTACAGCTTGCTTATTATCAATAAATAGAATACAATTTTCATCAATCAAAGGAAATCTTTTTAATAATCTTAATTCTATTATTGCATTATTGCATTGTCACTCATTGAGTTGAAAACTTTAAAATTAAGGTAAAATAAAATAAATCATACTTATGTCTACCCTACACATTCTTTCTTGAGCATTGACATGAAAAAAATTTCAAGACTCCCTTCTACTGAAATATGAATTTGACTAACGAAAGTCCCTTTATTCCAAACCACACAAACACAAGAAAAAATAAAGAGAACCTCATCTGCATGCTGCACCTTTACGCTTGATTGATAGCCAATGATCAGAGAGAAATAAGAATTTGTCACTTCCCCATCCTCAACTTGAACCTACTTACCTTAATGAATGACAGGAATTTCCGCTTCTTGCTTGAATCGTTCTTGTTCAAAATGGCTGAGAGAGCAATTAATATTTTTAATAACTGTACATTTTTTTTTGCTTTCTATATTTTAAGCAATAATTTTTTTTCTAATATTTTGTTTTTGATTCATTAGATATCATTCTAATACTAAAAGATTATGCCTGAAAAATAAGGTTTATTTATTTTTTGCTTCTTAGATTCAGATCGTTTTAAGCTTTGTTTACCTTGGGGATCTATTATACGGAAAAATCTATTATCCGGACTTCCGGAAGTAGCAGAGATTCCAGATTCGCGATCCACTTTACATAAAAAATTGCATTAATTTAACAAGAGCTCGAATTCTATTGTCATGCTAGGGAAAATACTTTATGAATACACTAGAGAATTATATTTCATTTAATAAATATTCAATAACATTTTTTTTGCATACAATATTAGTTAAATTACCTTCTAACTTCTATTTTCATTGATTGGAGATATTTAAGAGTGATGGTACAAAAGAAAAAAATATCAAAGTTATGTTTTCCTTAGCAAATTGCACAAGTGTACTTCATTTACTAGACCTGGTTATTATTTATTCAATTAATGTCAACTACAAAAAGCTACTAGTGCATAATATTGTGACAATCTTGGGATCAAGTTTTTAAAAATACAACTGAAATATATTTTCAGAAAGCAAAAGGATTTCTAGACTCACAAGTGGAAAGTGGTGAAAATTATAGTAATTTCTTCATTTAACACATGCGATGACAGACTGGGAATTAGGGATGTAACGAACATTCGGCAACAATTTGGTATTCACCCCTTTTGACGAATATTCGGTTGGTTGCATGTTTGGACAAATATTTGATCAAATATTCAGCAAAAATTTTTTTTTTGGAATAGTCAAATTAGAAAAACAAAGAATGAATAATCTAAAATTATTGGCTCAATATTATTATAGTTTCTAATCTTATTTCTTAGGTAATAAACCTTGCAAATTTATGTTCTGGAAGATAACTAGATTACTTAAAGCAAAAACTATGAGTTTGGTAAAATTCAAGCAAATAAATTTTTTCTAAAACAATTTTTGTTTTAAAAATTTAGTATGTTTGTTTTGTTTTTGTTATAGCGCTGCACTAAAGGAGCATTTCGAAAAAACTTTAATCTTTTGTTGCCGCTTCCTTTTTATATGATAAGACAGATAACCAGTAACATAGGGCACAGTGTGATTTTTCAACATTAAAGTTACATTTTTAGAGCTAAAAACAAATTTTTCTTTACTCTTTTGCTTTTATTATTAACTTTTTCTTTTTATCAGTGTTTTTAATATGACACAGCTTTTCTTGAAGAGCCTTTTTAATATATATGTTAATCTTTCATCCTCACTTTTTTCTAAAGATATGGCAATGTGAAAAAGTTACATTGAGCTTTTTAGTGTTAAATGTTTTGTTTAGAAATTAAGACAGATTTTTGTTTAGGTTTCTGTCTAGCTTTTTCTTTATTAAAAAAAAATAAATAAAAATATCTTCATTATTCAATTGGCGTTTTTATTATGAAACTGCAATTAATAGGGCTTCTATCAAACTTCATATATATTTTTTCATTCTTCTTGCAAATGCAGCAATTGGAAAACTGAGATGCTTAGCATTAAAATTTTCTTTCAAGAATAAAGATTGATTTTAAATTTTTCTCTTTTGCTATTGTACACAATCTTTTGCTTTTAAGGGCGTTTTTACTATAGTGTAGTAGATTTAAAAGCAATTCTGATAGATTATATTTCTTTTAACCACTTATGGATACTTTTTTTATAGAAAATATTATATGTAGCAATCAAGTTTTGTTTAAGAATAAAGAGTATATTTCCCATTTCTCTGTTTAAACTTTAGTTATATATATATAATAATGAATTTTTATTTCATTAACGACCATAAATAGTGTAATTTCCAAATGGTCTCTCATCAAAAATATGCATATATCTAAATAATTCTTCATAAAGAATTTCAATGGTCTTACCTTAACCCTTTCGCGACGGGATGCGCGAAAGAGCGCCGGAGGGTTTTTTGCTGTTAAGTCTAATTCCATGAAATTACCGAAATATCAACGCATTGTTTAATATTGTTCTGTAGAGTATTTGAATGACATATGCTTTATATATATTTCAATGGATACTTTATTTACTTAAGTTATTTCTTGTTTAAATATATATTTTACCCATTTTATTTTCATTATGTACTTATCATCTAATAACATTTAATTTTACTTATCTGAAAACTAAATAAATGATTTAAAGTTCTTTTTTCGTATGAAAAATTTTAAAACAGGAATTTACAAGATCTAACTATCCTATAATAAAAACTAAAATGAAAATCGAACGTAGTGGGAAAAAAACCTCCCCTACTTACCGTAAACAAATACCACATGCGAATTTAAAGAGCCGTCATAAAACATTCCTTCCCCCTAAAAACCACATGAATGTACTCTCATCTTGAGTAGAAGGTCAAATCTACATGTATCTGAAACCATATGGACATACAGTGCCATCTAATGGAAGAAATTTTCTTTTTTAAAACGTTCCAAAACGCTGGCACAAATGAGTGACAGCCGGGTGTGTTGACCGGGAAGTGAGCGCGTTTCTTGCTGGCACGTATATGTGACAGTCGGCGCGAAAGGGTTAATTGTTATAGTTAAAGCAAAACTAGCCAATATTTCTTAAAATTTTTTATCAGCAATTTAATTGTGGTTTTCTTTAAAGAATCTTTTGAACAATTGCTGTTTTTTTCTTCTAATATAAACTTTTGTTTTTATCGGCACTTTTACAATGGCACATTACTTTTATGGTATTTCTATAAAAAAAAAATTTCTGAAAATATGGGGAAATAAGATTTGCCAAGAGCCATGTTATTGTTTTATTTTAAAAGCTCAAGAACTTTTTTTCTGCTTCTCTCTCTTTTTTTCAAAGAACTTTAACTTCAGCAACATTTTTATTAAAGCCCGGTATATTTTAATGCAGTGGTGCGCAAACTAGGGGTCGCGAGCCCTGTGGGGGTCGCCAAATTTTTATGAAATGCATTATCCCTGCATGCTGCATACCATACAGTGTACATATAAAGAGTAAAGCACCGTCACTCACTGTTTAATTGCAATTTCATGCTGTCCACTCTTTCTTTGACCGTAATGCGTAATGTATGTAAAGTGTGATGACGCAAGTTTTTCACTTCGATAGATAGCGTTCTCTTCGCAGTAATTCGCCAGTTTTACTGAAAAGCGCCAATTTGACTAGACGTTGACCGCAGGGAAAGGGCAAAAATTCGCTTCCGTGATCAGCCAATCAGATGGAGAGGTACGCGGTGTATCTGATAGTCAGAGTGAATACATGGAGTGTTCGCATGAAGTTGTAGAATGTAGCAGTTGGCCAGCAATTATTTTAGTTTATCCTCGAGTTTTATCATGTGACGTTGTGTATGTGGCATCAGCCAGATTAACTGCGACTGTGTATTAACTGTTTAGTTTTAGCTTCAGTTTGCATTTATGTTTAGTTTCAGTTTGTGTTTGTGTATTTCGTTAGGTTGTCATTAAATGTGTTTGCGAGATGCTAGATCTCGTTCATTTATTTAATAAGTATTGAAGTAATACTAAACCACACAGTGTAATTTTGATTTTTTATATTTTTATCAGGCTTTGCTACTCTTTGTTATCAGGTATGTACTACCATTAGAGAAAGATCTCTGTTAATTTTTAATGAATTTCTCGAAAAAAAATGATAAAATTTTATAGATAATTTGTTTTAGTTTAAATAATTTAACCCCTATGTTCATAATGGATAAATGGGTAATACGTACACCAGGTACATCTTCAGCTAACAAACGAACAAATACTGATGAGGAGTCGTAAAATACTGAACTAAATGCCCGATCTAAAAAAATAAGAAAATACAATGAGGAATTTATTAAGTATGGTTTTACATTTTGTGCTGTTGATGATGAAGAATGCCCGATATGTGTCATTTGCAACGAAAAATTAGCAAATGAGAGCATGAAACCAGCTAAATTAAAAAGGCACCTGGAAACTAACATAAAGAACTTCAAAATAAACATGCCGATTGTTTTCAAAGACGAGCTGAAAATCTGAAAATTTAAAGTGCACATTTAAAGAAATTTACAACAATATCTCAGAAAGCATTACGAGCTTCTTTAGAAGTTTCTTATCTAATAGGAAAAACAATGAAGCCCCATACAATTGGAGAATCCCTTATTCTTCCTGCAGCAACTAAGATGACATCAATTATGCATGGCGATAAATATGGAAATGAACTAAAAACAATACCATTATCAAGAGATACCGTGTCTCGGCGGATTTCCGAAATGTTACGAAATATCAAGTCAGAAGTCATAAAACGCATACAAAATTCATCTGTATTTGCTTTACAAGTGAACGAGACTACCGATATTACTAAAATGTCACAAGTAATTAGTTATGTTAGGTTTATTTTTAATGAAGATATAGCAGAAACGTTTTTAAGTTGCAAAAGTTTGGAAGGAAAAATAACTGGAGAAAAAATATTCGAAGTAATAAATTAATATTTTGAAACAAAGTCCCATACCTGGGCAAACTGTGTTGCGGTTTGTACTGATGGTGCTGCAGCATTAACAGGTTCGAATAAAGGGCTCAGAGGCTTAATTCAGAAGGTGGCGCCTCATATGGTATTTAATCACTGTATGATTCATCGGCAAGCTCTTGTTGCAAAAGATATGGATGAAGAGTTGCACAACGTATTACAAGACGCTGTTAGTTCAATTAACTACATTAAATGCAACAGCCACAACAGCCGTCTCTTTTCAATACTTTGCAATGAGATGGGCTCAACGTATGAGAAATTACTGTTACACACCGAAGTCAGATGGCTTTCACGTGGGAAAATACTACGACGGATATTTGATTTGAGAAATAAAGTGTACATGTTTTTAATCGAAAGGAAACATAGATATTATATCAATGAAGTTTGGTTAGGGAAGCTGAGCTATTTAGTTGATATTTTCGAAAAACTTAGAGACTTAAATTTGAGCTTGCAGGGTGAGAATTCAACTATCATAACTGCAGCTAGTAAAATTCAAGCTTTTAAGAATAAGCTTAGTCTCTGGCAAACTGAACTGAATAAATACCAACATGTTCCCTTGTTTTAACAATTTTATCAAGGAAAATAATATAGATATAGTTACATTTAAAAACATCATTTCCAATCACATTGAAAAGTTAAGGAAAAAATTTTCGAGAAGATTTGAGGATTTTCCTGAAAACGATCTTGGTTGGATTCGAGATCCATTTTCTTTCAACATATGCAGTTCAACTCTTCAAATTAGTGAGAAAGAGCAATTGATAGATCTAATTAGTGATTATACCCTTCGAAATCAATTTAAGACTCAGCCTTGCCAAAAATTTTGGCTATATGTGGAAAAACAATATCCCGTTTTATGCAAGAATGCCATTAGAGTGTTAATACAATTTGCATCAGCGTATTTATGTGAAACTGGATTTAGCAAACTAGTTTCAATAAAAGCTAAATACCGCTCGCGTTATGATATGCGAATTGCAATTAGCAACATACATCCAAACATCGATGAGATAATTAGAAACTTGCAGCCACATACATCTCATTAAAGGGCAATTTACTGATTTTTGTGTTATACAAAAAGTATTTTCTTAAAATTATAAATAAAATAAATATGAGTCAAATATGATGATGTTTTTATTCGATGAGACGAAATTAATGCGCGAAATATACATTGTATTTGCGAGCATTTATCTCTAGGGGTCGCCAAAAATTTTCTCTCTACAAAAGGGGTCGCAGTCGAAAAAAGTTTGCGCACCACTGTTTTAATGGACATTTAACACATTTGCTGCCACTAAAAATGATATTTCCATCCTCAGAAGCCGGGTTACAAAACAGGGTTTTAATGGTTTAAATGCTCCTTATATTTCACTAGGAAAACCAGAAAAATGAAGAAACATATTATTTTCCTGTTTAGAGAGCGTTTTTTTCTCCGACGCTCTGGAGCGCCAGTAGCACACAGACTCAACCTGTCTTCGTGAGTGCCACTGACACTCCAGCGCGCCTGATCAATATTCTGAGAAGTTACTGGCATATTGCACAAAATAGCAGCTTAAAAGGAATAAAACGGAATACCATTCAAGTATATGTAGTACCATTTATAAAACAAAACTGAAAATATTTACAAATAATAAGCACAATATACAGATATTGGCAGTCACGCACATATAAAAATTGAAAGAAAAATTTTGAAAACCAACCACAAAAAATAAAAAACTAATGCTTCACTAACGTGCCGAAACAACCTCTCCATTCAACTCCCAAAGCCACACTAAACATAGAGCATATAACTTATAACATAATAGTCGATTGATGAGCTAGCGCATCGGCGTCATACCAGGAGGTGCCACTCTGATGCACTAGTGCGTCGGTGGCAGCGAACGTGTTAAGCTTTGAAGTTTTGTTTTAAGAATTAAGAGTGATTTTTTTTCTATTTCTTCATTTCCTATTTTTTTAAAATTATTTTCCTAATTGCTGAAATTTAGAAGAAAAAACTGGTTTTTAAATTGGCGTTTATAAATGTGTTTGAGAATTATTCAAAGACATACAGTAATATGCAAAACAGTGTATTTCTGTGCTAAAATTGCAAAAGCAAAAAATTATTAAAAAAAAGAAGATATTTTTATTTTCTTGATCTCTTGCATTTGTTAATGATTTGCAAAGCTTACAATCAGACAAAAACTATTTCCAATGCATATTGCAGTAAAATAATATTACTTTGGATTATTTAGAAATTTGATTTACAGTTCAACTGCAATCAAATACATAATTAAAGACACAAATAGAAAATGATAAAAATAATCAAACAACAAAAATTAAAAAATATAATAAACAACAAAAATTAAAAAAAAAAAAAACAGTGATACCTCTCGATATTTATCCATGTTGTTAAAAACTTTCTTTGCAATAAATTTCTTTAAGTGGGTCACAGTGACTTGAGCTGAGCATCTTATAAACTTTCTACGCATTTGCTTTAATGCCGATGTTTGAGCTTCCAGCAGAATATTTATCTGCTCATCAGATCTATGATAGTCCGAATCTTCAACTTTGGAAGAAGAAGACTGAAAGCCAGCTTCCTTTTCAATGCAATTATCTAAAAAAAGATGAATTCATTACACTATGCTTACAAATTATTGCTAATGATTTTTAAAATAACATTCAAAATATAACAAAGTGATATTTTTGAAGTATATGATTAAACAAACTATACAACCAGGGTTCCATAATATATACATACCTGCCAACATTAGAGAAATAAAATAACTAAGATTTCAACAGCAACATTTCCTAAGCTACGAGCAAAGTTTTGATGCATCACGCATAATCTCGTAAGTCAAAAAGAGAAAGAATATACGCACTTACAATTATTGAAGCAAACAATATGTACATAAAGCCAGTATACAATATGTATCCAGCCATTGCCTGCAACAAAATTTGATTCTCCAAGTTCTTTAGCTATTTCTAAAGCTTTTTCTTTTAGAATATTCCAGGATATAGGAGCATTTTGTGACCGTGCATATTTGATCCATGACAGAAGAGCCTTCTCCACATTCTCATAAGGTGACACACGCTGACGTTTTCTTTCTTGGTCGCTAATTGAAACTCTGGAGAGCTATGTTTGGCTGCTAAAATGTTGTTTAAAGTTGTTTGCGGTATAGAATTTTCTTTGGCAAAAGTAGCTTTTGAAAGGTTAGACTTTTTAAACTTTTCAATCAATTCATTTCCTTCCGATATTGTTAAATTCTTTCTTTTCAAAGTCATAATGAAAGCATGGATACGTTATTCACTCAGTAATCCAATAAAAATGTTCTTTTTTCTCAACTGAGCTCTGAGAGATAACTTCAAACGATCAAAAGACCTTTTGCCCTTGGGTGGGGAAAAGAATGCGAGTGGTCAGATGAGGAGAGGGTAAGGTCATCAATGAATGCAAAAGAGAAAAGAGGGTAGGGTGACGAAATAGAGGGGAAAATTCCAGTTCTCCCCGGGGGTCGAAGGAATGTGTTTACTTTCCGGTCATTTTTCTTGGCTTCCTGTCTAAAGAAATGTCTTAAAATGCATCTTTTTTCAAAAGAAAAAAAAAGGAAACTGACCATATAACCGGTAACTCGAAAAATAGGATGACCATATAAGCGGTGAGCTTTAACACGTGTTTCCTATTAAGTTAGACGGGACTTTAGAAAATAGACCATATAAGCAGGGTGACCTTATAAGAGGGTGACCATATGGGCGGTACTGACTATAACTGTCATAGTTTTTAAACTTATAATAGAATTTCCTGTTTTAATTCTCATAATTAAAGTACCTACCATATGTTTAAATTTTTTTTTCTAAAGCGTTTTTTATGTCAAATAAGTATAATGTGTCATATTCAATATTAGTTAACCATACTCAGCTATCTTTTAGATCTGGTTATTTCATTTTTTTTAATCAAAAATAGTGAATACTTTTTTTAGCATTAATTATGCCATACTACCTAAATAAAAAGTTAAATAAGTCTAAATTTTTAAGGTTTTGTTAAGAATATTATTTTTAAATCAAATGAAAGTGATAAATCAAAAATTTCTAAGGTGTGAAGTCTTACCAAACAAAATTTATCATTTAATTTACTGAAAATAGTAAATCAGTGAATAATTCCTACATTAATTACCTTGGCAATTATATTATTTTTAATCTAGCTTTTTTTCCCTTCAAATAAATCAATCACACTAGTCTCAAAAATTCTGAAACAAATACTATAGGTAAAAGCAAATGTTTGAAACATTTGCATTTATACTATTGCTCAAAATTAAGAAAATTTTCAGATTTGCTTGATTATCTCTAGAATGACTGGGGATACATTAATAAAATGTCATATAAGTATAAGGTTATACAGTGAATTCGCGATAACTCGAATCTGATAGGACTGACGAGAAACTTCGACATATCAGAAGTTCGACTTACCGTTAGTTTTGGTTTTGGATTTTCAAAATATTGTCGGATTATTTAATTAATGCTTATTAATTACAAATCTCTCTGCGTTTCTTTAAAAAACCCACACTTCCGGAAACAGTTTCTTATTGTCGTTTCGCTTACATCATTATTCCAAGCACTGGAAAGTAGTCTCATGGCTTCAAGTACATCAACTTTGAAAGAAATATTGTTTTCAATATCGCTTATCATTTTTCTGACAAGCCTTTTACGATAAGACTGTTTGAAGCACTTTATGATACCCTGGTCCATCGGCTGCAACTTTGCTGCTGTGTTTGGCGGGAGAAACTGCAAGTTTACTGCTTTCAAATTAGGTAGATCACTATGCGCTGTGCATTTATCCATAAAGAGTATCACTTTTCTTTTTTTAGCGAAGAATTTCCGATCTAATTTTCCTACAGTCTTCAAATAAAACTGATGTCATCCAAGACTTTTTGTTAGACTTGTAATCCAAAGGATACGTTTTTACATTCTAGAAACATAGGGGATTTTGGTATTTTCCGATAACAAGTAAGGGCAATTTCTCTGTGCCAGACGCATTTCCTTCAACTAGGACAGTCAAACGCTCCTTGCTCATTTTACCCCCTGAGCAGTTTTCATCCTTAAACATCATAGTCTTATTTGGAAGAAATTCAAAAAATAAATCCATTTCATCAATATTGAAAACATCATTTTAACTGTATCCTTGAAGTAAATTTGGTAACGTTTCATTTAACCACTGTTCACATACTTCAAGAGGGACAGCTTTAGCTTCTCCATGAAGAGTGCGTGTGTTGCAAAGGAAAGGGCAAGATATCAGCTCCTCGTTTTTTTTCTTGCTTTAAAAGATCCAAAAAATATCGAGTTAAAGAGAGTAAAATTCGACTAATCGAGAATAATTAACATGAAATTGAAGATAAAAGGGTTGGGACCTCATAAAAAAATCGAGTTAAAGTAATATTCGAGTTATCGTACTTCGAGTTATAGCAAATTGACTGTATATTACAAATAAAATAACCTTTCAGGAGTTAATACAAACTCAGGATTGTGATGATGCAGACCTAATTCTGATGGAGCATGTAACTGTATTATAACTTATGAATATTTCCTTTATTTGCATTATATCTACCAATATTAATAACAAATTACATTAAAATGTGGCCAGTCATTTTAAAGATAAATCAACCTATTTTAAATTTTCTTGACTTTGAATGCCAGTCCAATTAGTGGTCTTTAAATTCAAAATTTCATAAGGGTAATATTATGATGTAAATTAAATTAAATAATTGAAAATATAATCATTACTTCATCCATGTACATGAACAGCATATAATAGTTACCATAAAATATTAATCCTTTTCTATATTATTACTTCTTAAAACGTTTCTTACATAACTTATTATAACGTCTTTTGATCAATATATTCTTAGAATTTAGACAAACATGCCAGATTTGAAAACTACTTCATTCAACTGCAAGCCTAAATTAATTTCAAATTACTTTTACTAGTTATTTGTTTTGAGAATCATTTATTTTGAGTTTTGAATTTTTGGGCATTACTCAAACATTAGCAAAACACAAACAGTTTTTTATTTTACAATATACAAAACAAAATATAAAGAACAATCTTTCTGCAGCAATAGGTAAACATGCAGATGTATAGAATGTTCAAAAATAACATTTTTATCAATTTTTTTTTTCAGAATGAGAAAATATCAGTTTAGTTTTAAAATTAAGAGATTTTAGCTTTTGATATTATTAAATTTGATTTAAAACTACTACTAAAAATACTACATCAAAAATATTAAATTTGATCTAAAATTTGATTTAAAGTTATTTTCCATACTGCTACATGTAAAGGACTCAAAAGTTTATAGTTTTAGCTTTAATTGATTTAAAAAAGCGTAGTACTGAAAAGAGATTTTTTCCCCACAAATTTAGACAGATGCAAAACATTTGCTCAGTAAAAAGCATATTTGTTGAAAAACACCACATGAAGCAACAAGATGTTTGTGAAGTATTTATCTGAAAATGGTATGAAGAAACAGTTTGGTGCAAGAATGTAACCAGATGTAAATGAGTGGCTTATTATTTTAATTATAACTTAACTTAAATTTAAATTCACATGTAATTAGAATACATATTAGAAGCATGGTTATAAATATTAAAAAATAATACAAACATATATAATTTTACACCCTAAAGTTCTTAAATTTATAATGAATTGAAAAATGCTTACTAGGTATAGTTTTAGGATAAGGCATTCCTCTTCGTTTATAAAAGTCTCTTTCACGTCTTACTTCATCTAAAGAATGGGAGAATGTCAATATTAAAAACTTCATAGAAAATAATGATTGAAGAAGAATAGGTAATTGGAAATGGATTGAGTTATAAATTTTTTTAAAAACTAATTTCCTTTTATATTTATAATGCAGTAAGTGATACAAAAAATAATCCTAACACCAAAGATCAAATACACAAAGGAATAATAAAAAAAATATATTATAAGAGATAAACAGAGAGGTAATCCACTATCCAGAGCCACCAGAACATATAAGCAATCATGCAGAGAAATCAGATAAAAAGGAGCTATAGAATTATTTCTGGATTAATCAAGGAGATTATGGATAAAATTTCTCAATGATTTATTTCTTGTTTGCTCTTTTAACTGTAACATATGCTCCCTGGTTCGTGCTAAATGAGTAAAAACACTGCAGCTTGAATTCCATTTTATTACTTTCCAATTCTTTGGAAATTCAATCATTTGAAAATTAAATCATTCTATTTCTATTTTAAAATGAAAACAAAGTTAAATATAATTGCAAGCTGATATTAAGGGTCAATATTTTGTTAAAGGAAATGATCTCTTCAAAATATTTAGCGCATCAGTACCTAAAAGCTTAAAATTCTAATAAGTGGCTGATACTAAAAAAATAACTTTATCCCATAAGAAATGAGATTGTACTATCATAGTCTTTTCTGACACTACCATGATTAAATATATAATAGAATTCATTAAAAAAAATTATATAATCACCAGTTGACCAATTGAAAATTGAATTACCTAACCTCATTTCCTTTTTAACTGAAAAAAAAGCAAAATATAAAAGAAATATCGTAATAAGTTTTGACTAAGATAAGTTTTGACTATTGATAATAAGACTAAGTTTTTATTAAAAGAAATGATCTCTTCAAAATATTTAGCGTGTCAGTACCTAAGGCATAAATTTGATAAATGGCTGATATCACTAACCAAAAAAATAAAACTATTGGGAAACTAACGCTTTTCATGGCATTACAAGCTTAAATGTAATAGAATTCATCAAAGAAAATTTATAAAAAGTAAATTTAATTGCCAACAAAAATCTTACATTTAAATGTAACGTTAATAAGGTTAGAGATAAACAAAAATAAAGTCAATTATCTTCATTGATTACTTAATCGCTAGTACAAGTAAAAGAAAACCTCTTCTGTTTACCAGGTAACTAAACAAATTGTGCATTTCTTATTTCTGTTGAAAGTAAATACCCCTTTCCCCTCAAACATCTCAACCTGACTCTTTATATACTGACAAATACCCTATAATCCTACAAGAATGGTGAAAAAAAAATTATATAAAAAAAACTATTGTTGTTATTTGAATGCTGAGACAATTTCTTAGAAAACAGATGTGCTGGACACTTTTAACCTTCTACAATTCAAAGTTTCTATCTCACTTTTACTATAATTTGAAGAATAACTAAGAAGATAGTATTCTGATATATCATGAGTCTGTTAAACAAAGAAATTTTAAGATTATACATAAATGATTCCTTTCTTGGAAATTAGATAATAAGTAGCTGATTCTTTAAACCAGTGTTCATACAAACCAGGGGGCCAAAAAAATACATATTATTATTATTTCCTTAAATAACAAAAAATGGTAACCAATTCCTTTAAAATTTATTCTTTTGAAAGAAATGTTTCATATTTTGCAAAACTTTTTCCCATGACCAAGAAATCTTTTGAAATGTTAAAAACACTTAATCTTTTATTTTCAACTCATTGTTGTAGATATACATAAAAGAACAATTGTATTTAGGAAAGTATTAGTAAATTACAGTAGCAAAATTAAGGTCAAATGCTTTAAAATATTTTTGCAACTAGCTGATTTATCAATTATGGAACAAACAATTATGCAACTGACTAACAATTATGGAACACAAAAATTATGCTAATAATATCATCAAGTATTAAAAAAATAGAAAAATAAAGGGTAGATAGATCTCTTTAGTGGCATCTTCAAAAACAGTAATAAGTATGGTTTTGTTGCATAATTTTTTCGAAATTTCATACATAATTAATTCACAAATCACATTAATACCCTCAAGGTTAGTGGTATCCTAGCTGCTGACTGTTAATGGTACCGAGACCAGCTGCAGGGATGAGATAGGCCAAAAGGCAAAAAAGCTGAGTTTCCAAGCGAGTAAATTTTACGTATGTGCAATTGTTTAATAATAAATTACAGACAATTTAAGATAACAAATAACAATGTGTTGACATAAAATTGTGTACTAATTTATTATTAAATAAATAATTACATCAATACTTAATATTTAATAAAAAGTAAAATTACCAATTGAAAAAATAAGCTAGAAATTATATTTTTCTTTTCAGTTCACATAAGAGACAATTATTACTTGAGAAACTGCCTGATTTAGCAAATTAAAACTACTGAGAACATACATTAACATTCTACCTCTTTTAATTAATGCTGTTACGCGATTTAGAGCAAATATATCAGTAAGGTGACTTTTTGAATTATTTAGAGAAAAAAAAAATTTCACATTTGGAATCACTATGCTCATATTATAATGTAATCTAGCTAGAGCCAGGTGAAACATATCAATAACTGTAAAGTAGGAATATATATTAACACCTTAACATACGAAAATTGCTATTTTAGTTTGAAAAATTATATGATAATCAGCAACTGTTTAGATAATTATTTTTCATTTTAAAGCATAAATTACAGCAACATTATTTTTTCAAATTTTGGAGCTAAGTTAATTAATTCTTTCTTCAAAAAAAATAAATAAATAAATAAATAAATTGAATCACTTTTTAAATGATTGCTTTTGTTTGCTATATCTTTTATGTTCGCTATATCCTCCTTTTTCTTTGTTTAATTTCCAATTGCTGAAAATGCTTCATGTTTCACAAAACAAGCAAAAAATCCTCTAACAAGATCAAATTGTGTGTAATGCAGCTTGTGAATAAGGATTGCTTCATTTGGGAAAAGTTTTATATATTCTTGCAGTTATAGCAAAACTGACACAAACAGATTGGTGATTAATTTAGTTGTTAGCCCATCTTCAAACATCTTTCGACAAATCCTACTTTTTCTTCCTTGCAAGTACAGAATGTAAGTTTTGAATATATTCTCTTCCAGTCTAGCTGATGTTGTAATGCCCAAATATACTAATAATCGTTGATAGAAAAACAGTAACCTTTATAGTAACTAATTCAAGAAAGAAAAACTTACTTTTAACAAGAATTGCGATAGTTGATCTTAAAATCGCGTGAATACAAATTGCGATCTTGGATTTTTAAATCATGTAAATATAAATCCTGATAATGGATTTCGAAATCACGTGAATATGAAACTCGATATTTGATTTTGAAAATGAGAAAATACAAACTGCGATATAGAACTTTTAAATCACGTAAATACAAATCACGATTCATAATTTTTAGATGGAGTAAATAAGAATCATGATGCGCAATTTTTAGATTGAGAAAACACGAATCACGATGCATAATTTTTAGATCACGTGAAGGCGAATCCCAATGCCCTATTTTTAAAGCATGTATAAATACGAAAATCGATGTTTGATATTATAACCGCATGAGCGAATCACGACTTTGGGTTTTAAAATCACGCGAATACGAATCATTACATAGGTTTTTAAAAACGCTTAATACAAATAGTGTTATCGGATTTTTAAATCTCGTAAATAAGAATCGCAACTTTTAAATCACGTAAATACGAAAAGCTATGTTTGATATTAAAATCGCGTGAATAAGAATCGAGATAATAGCAGATTCCGGGCTTCAGCGTCGGTTGAATTACGAAAATATGAGCTATCTGGTGGGCGGGTAAAAATGAGGAAATTCTTATCTTCTGCGCGTAAAAGCGGAGAAAATAGGTATGTAGTTCGAATTTTCTGTTTAAAAATCGAAAATAAATATAATTAGTTTACTTCAACGGCTGAATTTTCTGAAAAAGCGGAATATTTATAAAATAAAGCTAAACTTTTAGAGAATCGGAGTTTTCGATTAAAAGGCTGAATTTCGAAAGACAAAAGTGAAAAAAAGCAGAAATCCGATAACATGCGGAAAAATCTCATCCCTGCAGCTGACTGTTAATGCACGGCTACCGGAGCTTTTGAACAAAAGGAAAAAATTGATTATTGATTTTGGAAAAATAAAAAAAAAATTTTGAAAATTTTGAATCACACATTTGAATTATCTCCTTTTAACAAGCTGAATTTAGCGTAAATTCTATTGTAAATCTATGTTGTTTCTCGATAGCTTTTCAGTGGTTATTGCTATAGAATTCCACATGGTTTTAAAAACTATATTTTTAATACATTATGATAAGCAAATTTAAAATTTCATTAATCATTTTTTTGATTTGCTTTATGTTTCCAGTTACCAATTACTATATAGAATCTACGAGTTATACCTTTCGAGTTGGTACCTTTTTATAATGTTTTTTTTTCTTCTTCTGGTTTATTGCAGGTCACTGCTCAGAATTGCCAAGATTTAGCAATTATTCTGCCACAGATCACGATATGGAAATCTCTCCATTTAGTAAATTTCCTTTCAAGGAAATGCATATTTTCTTGCCTATTCGTTTCACTACTCCTACTCAAATTTTCCACCATTTTCGTTCACTCTAAAAATTCTGCTAACTAAGCTCTTGGCGATCAACCATTTCAAGCCAAGTTGACACTATCATAACTTTTCAAATTTTTCAACCAAGAGTGACATTCAACAGCCAATCAAAATGTCAAAATCTAATCACTTAGATGTTATCAGGTTCTTGTTGCCATTCCGTAGTAGAAACTATGGTTTAATGAGAAAAGAAGAGAGAATGGGAAAAAACTAGGTAAAATAATAAAAAAAATAAAGATTGCGTTTTTTGATGTTTTGATTTGTGTTAATTTAAAGTTTCCTTAAATTTAATTCAATACCATACAAAAACTGATATCCTATAAGAAAAATGAAACCTGAATAATGAATATTACATATATTTGGATT